CGTGATTCGTTCTTATCGTTCACCGTTCTCATTAGAATCGGATGACAGCAGAGCGATCTCTGAAATAATACCTGCGTGATTAGTTGCCACAATTTGGTCTTAGGATGGTATTTCTGTCTAGAAAAGTCGATCCTTATCGTGCAAATGTAGAAGATGTAAGAAACATCCTTTGAAATTAATTGCTAAAGTCATTGATAAAGTTACGAAGATTGTCAATGGACGAGGTATGCAAGAGTATCAGAGTTCAACGGTAAATTAGTATATAATTATACGAGGTATAAATAAGTATATAAGTATTAGGTATATCATATGCATGGTTACGTTTGCCGATAAACACAACGCCGGTTTACAAAGCCAAGTAACTTTGAATTATCGTGGCACGTAACGTGGAAAAAATGTGAAAAAGGATGGAAAGTCTGGAGTTTGACATCGTCGAACGGATTGCACGAAAGCATTTCATCAAGTAGATCGTATCCGTTTTCGTATCGCCTGGCTGGATACACCGGTTACGCCAGTTACGACGCGACGGCAAGAATCGATAGCGAGCAGGTAAAACGTGGCTCGTCCGTGTTACAAAGTTCTAGCCCGTATCTAGAGCGTCGCGCGAATTAGTCGGTCGAGAGGGTTCGTCGCGTTGCTAGAATCTGGCAAATGAAATTCCTCTGAACCCGCCGTGCCAAGTGACTTTGATTTCTGCATGGACAACCGGAGCTCTCGTTAAGGGATCGATTCAGCTCGCCTTCGCCGCAGCTCTGTCAGGAATTCGCGCGACGTTCACCGTGACATGTCGTATTCGGTTTCGGACGGAAAACAATTTGAAAGAGCGCCATCTCGCGTCGCGAAAACTCGTCCCTCGTGGATTCTCGTTTCGAGGAGATTCGCCTCGCTCGAAATGAATTCGAATCTCACTCGGGAAAATTCCTTTGGACTCCGAACAACGCTTCGCGTTCCTTTCCGTTTCATATTTCATATGTTCATATTTTAGAAAAGCGGTTCCAGCGGTCGTCTAAACTCGTCCGTGGAATCGTCCTGGGTACATAACTAACGGACAGTTATAGTACTAACAGTCGCGTACGATCATACGCCCCGACATTTATTTTCCGAGCCAGTCGACGCCACTCTCTCGCTTGCCGGTGCAACGTAACCGCGCGATTGCGCGGCTGTTCGCGCGAGCGACTTCGCCACGGAGCGCGTGTCTTTTCACTCCCGTGCATTAAGACTAACAGCCACTGTAATTTGTTACCGAGAGAAAAACATTTTATAAACCGAAGGAAATTTGTTATTTAGGCAAGCGAAGTAACGGGCGAGATTTTATCGCGTCGTATTAAGCGGAATCTCCGGTTCGTATTTTCAGGCCAACCTCATAGGGCGTTATTGAAATTCTGCCAGCGACGAAATTCGATTGCGATTAGATCGATTCGACGCTGTTCGCGCTTGTATGTAAATACGTACTAGTTTTCATTCGCGAGTTTTCATTTTTTGGTTCTACTCGTGGTGCGCTATCGTTTGCATTTCTCTTTGCAAGAAAACAAAATCATAGAATTTCTGTTACAACGATTAAGTAACGTTCGATAATGTACGAATTTCTGTATGAATCTTTATACCGTGTGTTTAAATATCGTTCAAGTATCCAATTACAAAAAATTGTGACCATGATTATCGTTCCGCCTCTTATCTTCTTCGAATTTATTTTCAGCGAATGATTAAAAAGAAAGAAATCAATTTTTTCGTATGTTCTTAGTGTTAAAAAATGCACTTATTTAAATAATCACTTCGTACTAGTCAAAGTGTACATGCTTGAATTAATCACTTGGAGAGAGAGAGAGAGAGAGAGAAAGAAGCGAAGAACTTGAAAACGAAAAAGGAACGTAGAAAATTATTTAGTCGATTCGCTTGTAAATTAATAAAATTATACGCAGCTTAAAAGCAGCTCTTAAGGCGTTGAAACTTTTTTCTATTCTTTGTTGGTTCACCGTACATCGGGCTATACCGTTTCCAGGCAAATCCTCTTAGATGTATACTCCTCCATTATTAAAACGCCCAATATCGCAAAAGCTCCGTAAAATTTTAAGAACAATTGAGAAACGATTCTCCTAGATTGCTTGTTTGTACAATTTTCTACGCGCATTGCGTCATGCACACTTAACGGTATACAGCGTGACAACGCGTTCAACGTGATAATTCAGGTCGTGAAAATGGCATCGGAAAATATTAAATACCTAAATTATATTTTCTCAAAATCTATCGAGACTCAAAGTGGCATAATTAATGCGCAATAATTCGAGCAACTACATGTACGATGAAACCTTCTTTGTCAAAATGCAATGCCATTCTATACTGGCGGACAAAAGGATAGCACGTAATACAAATGTGGAAAATTTTATCGAATAACAAAAATATTCAACCACGCGAACTCGATTATTTTCTTAAACACGTTAATCATTCTGCAAGCGTCCTCGCAACATCCCGATAATTCCTCGACATTCTCTATAATACCTCCGTATCTCGATTCATTCGAAACAATTTAAACCCAATTTCACGATTTACTTCTACAGATTTTGGCTTCCACGTTCGCGATATCAATTACGCGACGAGGAAACGATAGCACAATCGACGAAGGCAATCGAGAAATACCTGCTCCTTGTATCGGGCTCCGTCCAATTCTCATTTTCAAACAACAATAACCAGGACGATCTCGTTTCGCTATTAATAAGCAATAGAATAACTATCTCGCAAATTAATCACGTTTCTTCCGCGATCTTGTGAATCGACAAGCACGTGGTCGGCCACCCATTTCCTGCTGGAAAGCTTTAGCGACGGGGACACGCGATTGTTCGTGTCGTGTTATGTCCCTGAAAAGTCAATTATTCGCGCCGGTTAAACTGATTTTTCGAAAACTCGTTGTTTGGACCCAGTTCGACGAAACGAAGTTTGACAACTAGCGTTGGTCGGAGTATGTGGCGCACTTTGATTTTTTAACCTTTTCGGTACGACGATCGTTCACCGCGTAGCGTCACTCGACGTCAACCACCATACTTATTCAAACTGACAAAGGAAGACGATCGCCGATCCACAAATTCAGAAAATTATGAAACTTTGGGGATATGCAGAGCATATTCAGCCATGTAGCAGGAAGTTTTTTTGTTCCTCAAATTCGCTCTAGGGGACTGAAGTCGATCCTTGAAAATCCGGTTATTATATAGAATTCGGCTATTTTCCGATCGTGTGTTACGACTTGCCGTAACGTTGGTAAATTTTGGCAACATTACCAAGTTGTAGTTCTAATTAAAAGTAACCTTTTTTATATTTAAAGGCAACTTTTCTTTGAAAGCTTTCTTTCTATCTCCTACAGCTTGCGGTTATAACGCAAGATCGGAAATTAGCCAGATGATATCCAGAAGCATCCTCTTAGAGCGAATTTGGGAAGCAAAAAAAGTCACGTAACGCATATATCTATATATACTCTACCTTTCGCCAAAACTTCGTAATCTTTTGAACCTGTGGGTTGGAGATCTTCCCTTGTGACCGGGAGAAATTATACAAGAGTCGACCGGCTACTTACAACGAACCGCCTGGAGCAAATAAATAGCATTGGACACGAACAGTCATCCAAAGATGACAGACGCTATAGTGGACGATCGCACGGAAGGGATTAACCATAACGTCCGTGATCGTTATTCCGTCTCCCTTCCCTCTTCGCAGGAGGTAGTTAAAGATTACGACGTCAACTGTTCGCATCGGCAGTAGCTGACGGGATGAAACACATCGCCAGATTTACATCGATTGCAAACAATTTGTCTCTTTGGTCCGGGATCATCGAGGAAGAAGATATACCGTTAACTGGAAAATTGGGAGAACAGGAGGTTTGGCAGGATCAAGCGCGAAAGAAGGTTCGCGTGCTTGATTTCTGGTTAATAAAACGTTACGCTAGACATAAAGCGATACGATGATGTATCGCGGGGTGTAGACGGAGGCAGGCCGAGTAGCTGGCTCGGCTACGTGTTGCGGCTAAGGGGGATGCGACGCGGCACGAGGCCATGGGGGATGAAACGAAGGCCAGGATGGACGAGGCGGGTTGCGAGGAAGAACTAACGCACCCATACAAAGGAGGAAACGTTATTATAGGGCGAGTACGAGCGCGCGAGTGGCAACGTGTTGGTCTTACGTCGTACACCGTGCGCCTCTGTATGATAAGGTCTTTCCGTGTACGTGTGTTTATGACTGTGCGCGCGAACGGGTGAGAACCGTAATGGGTTGAAGAGAGGCGAAAGGGCGCAGTCGCGAAGCCGGAGCCATCCTCGACCCCCGGCGGGCAGTGGTGGCAGCGGT